AGGGAATGAGGAAGATGAAGAGAGTCATTGGAGACTCCCAGAACTCAGAAATAAGCACCTAGGCAGATGAAAAGTCTACTTCCAGTACAGGGAAACAGTGGAGAAAAAGTTTATTTGATGTGAAACATATCAAAAGATTTGAACATATTTATTACATCTCATTATCTCCATCAGGTGTCAACCTGTGACACAAGAAGGACATGCAAGGTAGGCAATTGGATATTTTAGACTTTCTGCAATCCCCTGGAACTTTTGATTATCTTACTCTACCCCAGGCTTAATGTAGTAGAATTTTCTAGAGAACATAGCCAATTTAATGTGCTGAGCTTAGATGCAATGGAAAAAATTCAATGATCATTGAATTTTGCACTAACACACTAAAATTGCACGTTGACAATGTTACGTGCCTATACCTTTATAAGTGGAAAGACGGACAAACTGAGTTCTACATGTATTATTACTTTCTAGGAACAAATATGCTAGATGAGTCATGAAACATGTCTGAAAGAAGAGAGTCCTATCTAGTGCCTTCCATTTACATTGCCAAGTTTGTGTTATATGATGCCACCTGGTCACAAACCGACAGATCCAGGAATCAAGCCCTTGTCAAAGGCAACCACCCAATGGCTCCAGCGGTCTGTGAGATGATGGTCTTAGGAATCTAGCTCAATTGATGCAGCATTCTGGATAGTAGCAGTTTAACAAGTCAGAATTTTGTTTTGACCAGAGACAACAAGAGTGGGAAGAAGTAAAATTAGAAAAACAGAAGTAGATGGATAAGCAGGAACACAAGATTAAGAGAGAATTAGGCAGAGAGAGAAGCAAAGATTAACTGAAGAAGAATTACAAGAATGACAATTAAAAGTACAAGGCTCAGGAGCAGATGACAATGTGACTGGAATTCTCAGTTCATAGCAGCTCATTTATACGACAAGCATTTATTGAGACCTGCTTTTAGGAGGTAATTTTAATTTAGTTAGTCACCCATGAGACCACTGGTAGAAGAGAAGTCCAGGAAGAGAAACTGGAAATTACAAAAACTCCAAAATGGAAATATGTTTGTGATATTTGAAAAATAACAACAACAAAAAATCATTGAGATTGGACACCAGTGAACAAGGGGCAGTGAGAAAGAGGAGGTAAAAGGGAGGTTGGTGCAAGTCATGCAGGGACTTGTAAGTTATGGCTGGATTTTTAATTGACAGGAAGATGTTGAAAATTATGATCAAGGGGATGCAATGATCACATTCTTGAGTTGAAGGGATTACTCTAGCATTTAGGTGGAAACTGGATTATAAAGGGGCAAGAGCAGAAGCAGGGAGACCAGTAAGTAGGCTACTTCAGTAGCTCAGGCAAGAAAGAATGGTGCTGTGTACAAATTAGTAGCTGTGGAAGATATGGAAAGCAGTCACAAAAGGGATGCATTTTCAATTAGCATTAACAAGAGTAATGGATTGGGTAAGGAAGAGGAATCAGGGTTACACAGAGGTTTTTGTTCTCAACAACTACATACAATTTTTTGAGAAGGGAAAAACTGAAAAAAAGGGGACAATGAGTTTGGTTTGGGACATATTCAATTTGAGAACCCTAGTAACAATCAAGTAAAGAAATTCACCGGACAATTGGAAATCAGAGTTTGAAGTCCAGGAAATGTGTTAGAACTACAGATACAAATTTGGGAGTCATCTATATATCAGGCCTGACAGAATGCCTTCTAAAATGGTTTCCTGTGCTCTATTTCTTCGTTTGTGTGCCTCATATAAAGCCCTCATCAGAAGAGGTATCCTGGACATGTCTCATTTTCCTGGGTAAATAGCATTCCAGGCAGAGAGAATGGAAAGTACAAATGCTCTGAAATGGAAAAGTTGGGGTGTTTAAAAAAATAGCAAAAATGCCATGAGATTGGATCCCAAAAAATAAGGGGCAGCATAAAAGCTGAAGTCAAAGAAGGAGGTCTGGTGAACCCATATGTATCATAGTATCTGGAACAGAGAAAAGTAAATGAATTTAGAAAGCAGGAGAGTAGTCTGTCTGTGGATTAGTTGACACAGCATAGATGGATGTGGCATCTTTCACTTCTTGCCAGTTTGACCTCTGTAACCAGTAACTGCTCACAGCCTAGTAAAAGAAAAGTTAGGAATTTGCTGGTTATTTTCTTCTGTTCTGCTTTGTTTTACCAACAAGTTGTTCACGGGGTCTTTCATGACGCCCTGATTGGTCTTTTTTCATCAGAGAACCATTAATCACATATGTTCTTTTTTGCTCTCCCAGTAAATGCTTTTTATATTCAATAGCAACATTTTTCACTGCAATTTGAAGAATTACACATTTCAGAGCAATTGCTTTATTGTATTTAGGATCTCAGTAACATTTCCTTGTTTTAGTTAGTATCTCGATCACCTTTCCTTTGCTAATTCAACTTTCTTAGGATTGAAGAGTCTTAATGTGTTCATCATATGTTACCATTGTGATCACCATATGTTACCATTGCTTAATTGTCTCTTTAAATATTCATTTATAGTTCTCAGGGACAGGTACTGAATTAACCATGTAGATTTAGCTTTAACTTTTTTTTCATCAGAAGCAAGAGACTTACCTATTTACTGGCTATTGTGAGGAAATTAGTGGCTAATAATAATATCCTAAAGTCTTTTGAAAGAATTACTGTGCTTGGGGGCCTCCCTGGTGGTGCAGGGATTAAAGACAGCACTGCTAAGCCACTGCCAGCCACTAACAACATGAGTTCGACACCAGGCCAGGAAGCTAACCCACATGGCACAGCAGACCTCTCCTGTCTCGCCCACTGCTCCCCTCAGCAGTATGTTTCAGTACATCTGCCTGTTTTGCTCCCCATTCTCTCTGGTGAATCCTCTCATCCCCCGCTCCTCTGGCTTGCACCCCAGTTCTTGTATGCATAAATAAATAAATCTATAAAAAAATAATTATTGTGCTTTCTCAAGTTTTTAACTAAAATGGTTAAAAATGATAGTCATTGAGTGGCCATCTCAGAGTGCTATACAGTAATACAGTTATATGCCAAAAGATGCAATATGACTAAATTTCCTAAATGTTTGGATCCCACATTCTTATGATACTTTGAGCTAAATATAACAAAAATCATGAGCCCCTGGGGCCTTGATTTTAAGATTGCCCTTTAAAAATAATACTGTTATTATCTGAGGACATGAGAACAGTACTACTTTAGTTAAATTAATTCAGGATAGAACAGAAGAAACCATTAAATAAGTGACCATGTATTTTCTTGTTGCCTGCTCATACCAAAACTGTGTGTCTTGAAAGTACAAGATGACTTACAAGAGGGAAAACATTTTCAAAGTGAAGGCATTTATCGTCAGAGAGGGATGCTTGGTGGACTCAAAAATTGCCCTGGAATAAGCTACAATGCTGATGATTGCATTATTGACTGCAATCTTATGAACATGCAAGCATGGTATTTTATAGCAGCACAGGAAGGAAGTTTACTGAAAGTAGTAGCTATTAATGCGTTCATTTCTATTCTATCTCTCTGAAAAGGCCCCAAGTCTAGAGAGAATACTGAGTGGAAAATTTCACTACCAATTTAGACGTCTCTCCAGACTCCAGAGGAAGCTGCTCAGCTGGCCTCTCCTGTAGTTGAAACTGAGCTGGATGACTACATGATGAACCACTGGGCCGAGGGCCCAAGCACCAGACTGGAACATGAGCTACTGGACTGGACACACTCTGCTTCATGTCAGGCACAATTTTGTGTGAGAAATAAAAGAAGCCTTTCCTAGAACTGATGTTGATCAAAATTCTGAGGCACTTAGACGTTCTTGTGGCAGTTCCAATTTGAGGGGAAAATTCTGGGAAAACGCCAGAATCTGAACTAGCATTCTTAATTGTTATGTCAGCAGCTGCTACATGTACAGCTAATAGTTGTTTGATTGGGTTTCTTAGAGCTGCTTCTGACACAGGCAATGAGGCAACTCTTTTCATTAAATCTGCCCCAAATTCAAATTATTCTACTTTGTTTAAACTAAGAAAAAAAAAGAAAGAAAGAAAAACATCTGTCAATACTGGCAAGATTGTGGAAAAGTCCCTCAGAGAAAATATGTAAGGAAAGTTAAAAAAAAAAGTAATTATTTTGGAAAATCTGAATTTCCAGACTGAGATTCTGAGATAGCTATAGTTATCTATAGTTAACTATCTAGGTAGTTCAGCTACCTGCTTTTCTTTCAGTGGAACTAAGTTTTAAATGAATAAAGTATCTTATTAAAAGTAAACTACTGGTGGGCCTCCCCGGTGGCGCAGCGGTTGAGCGCTGGGTTGCGAAGCTGCCCGCGGCCTCTGCGGCGCCGGTTCGATCCCCAGCTGCTCCCTGGCCACCAGAGGAGGGTCCCACATGGCGCGCAGACCTCTCCTGCCGCCCGCTGCTCCCCTCAGCAGTGTACTTCGGTCCTTCTGCCTGCTCTGCTCCCCGCTCTGGCTCTGGTGAATTCTGTCACCCTCCCACGCTTCTGACTGTACCCAGTGCATATATAAACAAAACAAACAAACAAACAAACAAACAAATAAATAAATAAAACATGCCTCTATTTAAAAAAAAAAAAAGTGAACTACTGGGCCTCCCTTGTGGTTCAGGGGGTTAAGCACTGCACTATGGGGCTGTTGGCAGCCTCTGCAGCATGAATTCGATCCCCAGCCCACCAGGGAGCAATCCACATGACAAGGCAGACCTTTCCTGATTCGCCCGCTGCTGTCCTCGGCATTGTACTTCAGTGTATCTGCCTGTTCTGTTCCCCATTCTGTCTCTGGTGAATCCTCTTACCCCCTGCCTCTCTGGCCTGTACCCCAGCTCTTGTATGCATAAATCAATAAATCTTTAAAAAAAAAGTCACATTACTCAGTTGTAGAGTTGAAAATAAGCGCAGTTTACAATCAAGCATAAGGTCCTGAGAACAGTCTGCCATCCAAGAATTTAACACTCACAAACACCCCAAACAGTACCTGAACAGTACCTTTCATGGCGGGTGGTGTGTAAACACTCTGCTTCCTTTGCTTAGGAGATGCATTCTGTGACTGTGGACAAAGAGAAAAAGTAAGACTTCTATTTGATACAATGTCAGCAGCCCTGTGAGGGAAATAAGCACCATATCATATTTCAAAGAGTTTTCTGATTCCCCCCATCAGGAACTACATCTCTAATTAATGAGAAAATATGCACATGTTCCCCAATACCACAACCTTAAGAGATATATGAACTATAGGTTCTATTTTACCACAAAGCTTTCCATCCATTACAGTCTTGAAATTATTCTTTTTATTTCCTGAGTACTGTTAGTTTATTTTTAAAAGATAGAGAAAAGGAGAAATCAATCATTCCATTTGAGGAAAACCTAAGAGCCAAGACAAAATATATTCCAAAAGACATGTGTGAAGGGCTACTATACCTGTTCATAGGATTTTTGAAGAAGGAAGGGATTATTAGAGAGTGAGAATCCTTGGTAAATAATGCCAATATAAACCCCTCTGAAATTGATACATCTAATCTAACATCTCCATTTACTTGGAATTGCAATATTGACACAATATTCTTTTCTATGTTCAAAAGAGAAGTCCTTTTTTTAAACAAAACTTCTATTTAACACTCTTACTGAAACAGAATGGATCAGGATTAAATTACTGAGGAAGGTATTTTGTATTAAAAATGATAAAATTTGGCACAGGAACATGTCTCAGAGTCAAACTACAAGTAATTATATGGCTAGATATACATATATAGCTTAATTTACTAAATAATAAAATACATATATATATTTATGTGTGTGTGTATATTTTATACCCCAAGCATATTATGTCAAAAACTCCCTTTCAATAATGTGTCAATTTATATTTCAATATGGCAAAGGTAAGTGTTTAATCAGTGAATTTTACTGTCTGGAACATAAAATTATCTTTGCTTTTAAAAGCTCAAATATTAATAGTTATGAGTTACTTTTGGTGGATTGTTCTAGGTTTTACATTTCCATATTATAAGTAACACAATGTAGTTGAAAAAAAAACTAGAAACACTTTCATGGTTAGAACTTAAGGCTTCTTTCCTTGTGCATGCGTTTAAATGCCCTCAAGGATAACATCAAGATATTATATTTACCTAATTAAAAAGTGACCTATTAAAAAGGAAAAAATTCAACCAAATAGTTGCCAAATCTATATCAACCAACAAACAGCGTAAGAAAATTTCTCTAGAATAGAGTTTTAGGTTCCCATATATTTTGTATAGGTGCAGAAAGGCTGACACTCAGTCTACACTCATGATAAATGTGTGTATTGATTGTTTAGTACCATAGCAGTAAAGCTGATTAAATAATAAAAACTATTTAAATTTTTTTTAATAATAAGAGTTTTCAATGCATTTTCACATTTACAATGTCAGTATATTCTCAAAGACATCGTTTGCTCTTTTGTTCTTTCTGTATTCTCTTCTGAGTATTGCCGTATGTCTACTCATGTGACCATTGGAATTGACTATTAAGTCGGTACACATCCTATTCAATATTTGGGCCTCTTTTGGGTGCAAGTTTACTCACTTCCTTGTATTCTGTATATTCTGTGTCATCAGTTCTCCCATTCTCTCTTTCCCTCCCTTCTTTACTTCTTTTCTTGCATTGAGGTAACATTGTTATAATTTGGGAGAATATGTCCACACCTCCTCAGAAGTATGTGACCACACCACACCCACTACTATATTTCTCATTTTCTATCTTAACTATTATGTGTATATGTGGAGACTTTGACCTCAGGATCTGCTCTTGACTTCACATGCCAGGGTACCCAGCTTCTAGCTCCAAAATTTCAATATTAACTGGCCCCAGTCTTGATGGCCAGATACAGCTAGCCACTAAATAGAAATGATCAATACTGCATCTTGGCACTAAATGCAATAGTTTATTTTGGAAGTTTTTTCAGGGGGTTTTCATAAGTAGTGAATCAAATAAACCTAGGGGCAGAGATTTAATGACACAATTGTACTGTTTGTTCAGTCAGAAAAAGCAAACTAAATCATTTTTATATCACAGTTATATTGATATCACATATTATATTACATCAAAACAGACTGTGTTTTCAGTTAACTTGAACACTTATTCTAGAAAATATAAGAAAACTTACTTCTGCTTGTGTGCTAGTCACCCTCTTGTCATCTATTTCTGCAAGAGAAGTAGGCATAATATATTAGAGAGGTGATATTCTTCCTTATAATATGCATAGTAACATTTTCAGCAACAGAGATCAAAATGATTTAATAATTGCCTTATGCTTATTTATTATATGTGTCTTAGTTTGATGGCTGAGCAGGATAGGAGAATGGGAAGAACTGGTTTCCTTCTGAAATAACCTCCCAAAGGTTTACTAGAAAGCATTCTTCCTGAAATCCCATATGGCCCAACAGCCCAAAAGGGGGCCATGGAGAGGACCCTCAGAACAACTGCTGGTGTCTCAAGCACACAAGCTGAGGCATGAGTGATCTTCGCTTGTTGCAGAAATAAATTCTAGACTTTTGCCCAGGCAGGGGAAGAACAAGTGGTACTTTAGGAATGGTGAGGTCAGGAAAGCTTTACTACTCATGCATGAGGTCTCAGACCTGGGTAGTCCCATAAGGTCTGAGCACTGGTCTAGAGACAAAGAGTTTCTTTTACACATAACCACTTTACTTGATAAAGTTGGTTAGTTAGTAAACAAATTCTTGACACAGGAAAAGAGGAAGGATACAGATCTTTGAGGATGGCCTGGGAGAGCAATCATCCTAGCAGGCTGCCTGACCTTGTTTAGATATGCTTATTAAGGAAGCAAACTTGTTATTTACATTTCCAGGTCTATGACTCTTAACAGGGAAAGATTTTCCTTTTCTTAGCAGTTCCCTTTCATCCTGACTGAAGCCTCTGTCACCTTTTCTCAGGCTTGCTGCTAAGTAGAAGCAACCTCCTTACCCACTTTTCTATATATAGACCGTGGAAAGAATCAGTTACTTTGTCAGAAATATTTCTTTTTACCACGCCAGGGCAACTTCCACACTATCTGACTAAAAAGGAGTATGAAAAAGAGAAAGAGGCAGAAGAGGAGCACATATATTTCCCTTGAAGAGAGGAAGGGCAACATTTCCTACCTTCTCAATTACTTTGTGCAATTCTGTCCCTGATCCAATATGTGCTGTCTACAAGAGACTCACTTTAGACATAAATAGACAACTCAGGTAGCAATGAAAGGACAGAAAATGTAATTCCATGAAAAAAGTAACCAAAAGAGAACAGGGATGGCCATACTAATGTCAGACAAATTTTATTAAAAGCTCTAAGAGACAAAGAAGTGGACAACAGTCTAAGTCACAGTCAAGAAGAGTCTAAGAAGGCGTGATAAATAGATATGCTGGGCTTTCCTGAATGAGATGTTAAAATATAAAAAAATATTAAGTTAAAACTAAGAAAAAATGAAAAAACTATGAACTTCTGTTTAAAATAACACATTAATGTTGGGTCACTGTAATACTTTAATGCCAATGTAAGATGTTAATAATAAAAACTGTGAGAAGGGGAATAAATGGCAACTCAATTTTCCCTCTATTTAAATTTTCTGTAAGTATAAAGCTCTTCATACAAAGCTGTCTATCAATAAAAACTTAAGCAAAAAAAAAAAGGAAAGAAAAAGCATTAACCATAAATAAAACATATTTTTGTTATGTGGTCAGGATTCTGTATGTGACTGGAAGAGTGGATAGTCATTATGACAATAAGAAATATAACTGAAAAGAAGTTCATGAAAGAACATGATTTAAAAATGTCTTATGGGGTCAGTTAAGGATCATTGGGAGAAAGTAGGACTAAGGGTACAAGAAGGAGATTTTAAAGTTCAATTAAAGTTGTTGAAAGTTGATACAAGCAAAGAAATGTTTGTGGAAAAAGAGAACTAAAAAGATTTCCAAACAAGTGCAATGATAATGAGAGCTCTTTACTTTGATTTACTTGCTGATTAAATGTGGAAAAAGAATAAATATAAAAGAAAATGTTATAGGGCAGGGAGAGGGGCAGCCCAAACCCTGCAAACCTGCCTATTCTAAATGGGTTCTGCCATCCGCCGCATCAACACAAAACATAGGAGACTTTAATGGGAAGGAACTTTAATACAATTAGGAAACAATACAGGAAAGGCAAAGAATCTAGTTTCTAAATCAAGCACCCAAAGTTACTCATTCCCTTCATGGGTAAAACTCCATCCAAATGGGATTGGCCCAGAGCAAGGCCCCAAAGCCTGCCCCAAGTCTAAAGCATCTTCCAGTGGGGACCCACAGAAAAGGGTCAGAAACAACCAGACAAGCCCAGAAGGAAAAGAGCAAAATCAAAATCAAGATAAAAGCTGCCATTGTCACCTCCCCACGGGTCTCACCCACATCTGAGTCACCCAGTCCACAACCAAAAGACAAGTGCAGTTTCTTCACGTGTCTCTAGGCTCCATGTGACTCCTCTAGGTCTCCTTCTGGCTCCATCCTGCTTCCTTCCTCAGTCTCCTCTGCAGCTTCTCCTCTCCCTGCTCAGCTCCACCCTCCCTTGGGTGGGGCAGGGAACCTCCCCCTTTCCTGGGGACCACCCTGTTACAAAAATACTCATATACCCATTTGATTATACATAATCCCACACACCCATTTTTAAATCATTTTTCCATCACACCACATCCTACCACCTTTCAAAGCTCAATTCAAAAGACATCTCCTTTAGAAAATCCTTGCTAATTCATGGCTTTCCCATTCCAAACTGGAAGTTACCCTCCTTTGCCTATGACCAGTTCTTTCTCTATGACTGTTCTAACTGTCCTATTGTATTCATGTTTGCAGACACAACACTATGGTCTTTACCATTTTATTTCCTCAACTATCTCTAAAAGAATGGAAATTAGCCTCACCGTGTGATCCTTCTACAGCTCTTAGCACTGCAGCACAACCAAAACATAATAACAGCTCGCCATATAGATAAATCTTAATGCCTACTTTTTGTAAAAGAAGACCCTCTGCTTGCTATGTCTCTTCATTACAAAATGCAGCAGTAGTACAAGTACTTGGTCATACTAGGTGTAAATAAACAATTTTCACAAGTACTTGATTTGCAAACTTCTAAAGGCAGAGACCACAACTTCTGTATTTTTATCACTTTACTGGGTCCCAATGGTACAAACCCTCAATTTCTTACAATATTACCTAAGTCATTAAAAAATGAAATCTTAGAGGGAAAAAAGACATGTAACCTTATGTATATATAACCTTTCTCTGTTGGTTCCTAGAGATTGAGAATTTATCTGGATCAAGGATTTATGTGTGTATGTATATGTGTGTGTATATATAGATATGTACATATATAGATATGTACATATCTATATATACACACACGCTTAAAGAGAAATTAAAAATAAGTGGTATATAAAGTCAAATTTAATATGTTCTTTATAAATATCAGCCTCACTCAATAACTAAAATCATGGAAATGCATGATTTACTCAGGATATTCACTACAAAAGAACACCAACCCATATATAGAATGGTTTGGTAAAGGGAGATCCAATTTCTAAGAATAAAACAAAATTTTGATGAGTTTAGATAACAGAGTCACTTGAGGTTTTATTTTCAGCAGTTATTTTGGAAATGTGAGGGGTAAAGTCAGTTTAGAGGAAACTGGAGTACTTCCAATAAAAAGAGGCTTTGAAGACTCCACTGCTCAAAAGAAATAACAATGACAGATTAACTATAAAAAGACATGACTAAAATGATATAATCGGAGTCAAAAGTTACGGGCCATAAACATAAGAAAAGCAAAATGCAAAAAGCAAGTAAGAAACCATGGGCTGGAAAGATGTTAGCTCTCCAAGCAGGCAGTCAGCTGGGGGTTCTTCTGACTGACTAAAGAGACTAACTTCATGTGAAGAAAGAACAGAAGCCAGGCGTGCAGACTTTAGCTTGAAGCAGAACTCTCTTGCTATGTTGAGAAAAGACACTAATCTGTGTATCAGGGGAGACAGGAGAAAGCATCTTGGAACACCATGTGCTCAGGGACTACTTCTGCTCTCTTTCTAAGTTCACCTTGAAACTGGAGTGCTGAGGTCCAAACTGAGACCTGACTCTAGAGTCTGTAGTAATGACTGGAGAATGACTCAGGAATATGAACAAGGAATGGTGATCATGGGGTAGGGGCAAATCTCACTGCTGATGAGTAGAAAATTAAAATCTCAAAACATAGGAGAATAAAGAACATTTAAGAATGACTGCCAAAAAAAGCAATTGGAAGATGAATTCCTTCCAGATGAAATGACAACTTCAGAACAATTAGAAAACGTTTGTCTTTAAAATCAGTATACTTGAAACCCACAAAAAGACAAAGAAGTACATCCAATTTTCTTAAAATCACAAAATATTAGAACAAACCTAAACTGAAGTGAATCAAGAACAGGTGGGCCTAAAAAATAAACAATTAGAAATATAACATTTGGAAATATAAAATTCAGAAATAAAAAGCAATAAAACTTAGACTGACTTAAGTAGAGTAAAATTTTAAAATCTTAGGTGTTGTGTCCTTGGAGCTTGCATTCTAGTGGGAGGGAAAAAATTAGCAAATGAACAAGACTTTTAGACGTCATTTAATAAATCAAGCAATAGGGCAGGGTGTCGAGTTTGGGGAGTGTGACATTACTATTGAAAAAAAGAAAAAGATCTTGGACATTATACATAAAACAAACAAGGAGCTTCCTTCCAAAACAGAGAAGAAAATAGACAGTGAGGGACTCCGAACCCCATCAAAACGCAGTGTGTCCCCCACAGGCTTCCGTTGACTCAGAACCTAGCAATTGCGAAATGTTAATAAAAACTGACAAAAAGAGAAGCTCTCTTTCTCTTTCTTCTAAAGGAAGCCTACTTGCTCTAATCAAACGACGCCTGTTTTCTAAACACAAAAACTTTTGGACATTAACTGCTCTTCTTTCCTGTTTCAGGAAGCCAAATGGCAAGGTGGCACTTTCACAAAGACCTGGTGATAATAAAGCAACCTGAGAGAAATGACACGTTGCCAATAGGGAAAAGCAATTTGAATAACAGCATTCTTTTTTCTTATCAGAAGCCATGAAAGCCAAAAGGAAATGGTACATGTTGTAAATGCTGAATAAAACTGTCAACTCT